GTATGATTGTCTCTATATAGTGTTGATCTGAGATGCTGAGATAAAACTAAAACCTTTAAGACCTCGTTTGTCAAATACGTCCCTTGAGCTCAATATAATTTAACAATGTCATTGTTGCATAATTAGTCTCTGAACAGCAAGCCTCAGTCTAATAGATTTTCTCTTTAACCTCCTCTTCTCACATACAGATGCGGCAAAGTCTCGTCTATTTTATGGTGAGTTTCATATATTTTGGTGGATTATTGTTGTTTTTGTGTTGAGGATATAATTTATTTCATGAAAATCATTCCAGAGATTGTTCTATAATTTTGCAAAAAATACAATATCATCATCGCAAATAATTCCCCTAAAATGTCCAATAATCTAAATTTAAATTTGCAGTATTGTCTCTGAGTCTGTGTGACAAGGTCACGTAATTCAGTGTTTGATTCTAACATTCTTTTGACAATAACATTGCTGGTTTCCTCCATTGTGAGCCAACAATGCATCGGTGAACAGAAAGACTCTATCTGACCTGTGGTGCATCAGAAAATGGAGCTCATTGTTGTTGGGCAGTGTAGTATGATGACTGAGATGAGCTGAGGTCTCGGACTCTGTGCTCACCGGCACAGTCCCTGGCTTTGAAAGGGCTCACCACTCTGTGGTGGCTACAAAAGAGAGCTGTGTAGTGGGATTGGTATGGCCAGATAAGATCTGGGCCTCTGAGGAAGTCTGGTCTGATTGCTACAAAGGGCTGAGGTCAGGGGCAGCGGGAGCAGTTTACTCATCTAGGTATCAGAGGATCAGTGGTTTTGGTGGGGAGCCGCGTATGTAATAAGTATAAAAGGATCAGTGTAATGTGATGCTATAAAAAGATTAAAATCAGAAATGGGGTTGGAAGGTAGTGTACTCTAATGGCCCCAAAAGCTACGGGATTAGAGATTTTGCTGTGTGTAAGCGTCCGCTCCACACCCTCGCATTGACTCAGTTTGTCTGCGTGCATCTTTGATGGCTAGAGAGAGCCACAGTGGTCTGTGATGAGAGCTGAAGGGGAGAGGGAGGCGATGGAGGGGATACAGGAAAAGGATGCAGGGGGAAAGACGAGTGCTTTGGAGGCTGCGTGTAAACAGGGCAGTGGTACACACCGTGCCGTTAACCAGCTGTGAAGACTGCTCACAGTGGGAGATGAATTTACAAAGGATGTCTCCCTCTGATATCCAGGAGACTCTGCACTGATCTCTGCTCCACTGCTCTCGGCACACCATTGTAGTGCAAAGCACTGTGCCACTAATGGCACTTATGTACCTTAATGCCTGGAAAACATTTACATTTTGCTCACAGCACAGTGGCTGTGGAGAAATTGTGTGTGTGGGTTTTATTATTTTTTTTATCAAAAGCATCCATCAAAAGTTCTGGCGATAAAAGTATCATCATTATTCAGAAAGTTTGAAAGTTCTTGTAATTTCCTTTACTCATCAAACTGATTAAGGAAATTGCAAGCCCTCCAATGTCTTGCACATTAGTCCCTCCTTATAATGTGCACTAATATTACTCACCATACAAAGAGAGCATTTTGTTGCACTAGATTGTCAAACGTTACTGTTGTAATGCTTCTTTTTTTCCACTTGTGAAGTCAGTGACTGAACTCCTCTGCACCACAGAATTGCTCTCCAATCTTTAGGGAGTCTGGGATCTCAGCTCTAAAAGTCACAGTTTAAACATGAGGCAAGCCATAACCAGGAAATGCCTGTAGTGTTAGCAAGGTATCGGATTCATGCATTCCCCTCTGAACAGCATGACTGCCCCTGAAAATCCCACATCCATATTTTACATCACGGGAGACAAGACACATGTGTTTCACCCTGGCTTTCAAAGCTGTTTCTTCCATTTATTTTATTATGCTTTAATGAATTTAATTAGATGACATGTAATTAAATGCAACTGTGCTGCTCACCCCGTAACATACACACACGCGTGCACGTGCAAACATATGCACACATTTGGCTGTAAATTGCTCAAAACAACATGTGCGATGTGAACAGATTTACTGGATTAATAGGGGATTGATAATATTTTGGGATTGTATTTCACTCTAAACGGCTGCACGCGGAAACAAAGGCTGCAGCCCAGGCTCATTAATCATAGTCAACGGGTTGCCCGGGTGCAATTTGCATGACCGAGGTGGCTGCACATGCTGCTGTTCGGCCTAGGTTGCTGGATCTGCCTCGATTTGGCCAGACCGTTAACGCTGCGTCAATCAACGATAACCCAATAACAGTATGACAGAGGAAGGGGGGGGGAGATTTTCTCCTCATTACGCCACACTCCTCCTCCCCCCCTTCCCTTTCTCTGTCTGCCCAAGTTCTTATTTTAGTAAGCACTAATTAGACTGGCCTGATGAAAAATGAAACCATTCTGTTATGTTTATTATTATAGAAATATAACTTTGTGATTTATTAAAAAATAATTGTCTTTTTGTAAATAAGTAATAATTTAAAACATTCCATTTTCTAATTTATAAATATACTTTTAAGGTATTTCAGTATTTTCCAAATGTGATAATATTCGGTTTGAATTGTACATAATTTAGAAATCTTTCCTTTTAGCCTTTTCAAAAATTTGTGAAAAACAATCACTTTTATCTATAGAGCAAACTTTTTTGGTTCATCTGTATTTTTTTGTCCGTCACAGTTTGCAGCCTCACGAAGCTTTTTTAACTGCAAATAATTGGGTTGAGGCGGGATGCAGTGAAGTTCAAAATGAAGCACAATTTCACAAAGATATAATCTCTCCACTGGCTGCATACACTGAATTCTAATTATCTCGTCATGAACTTTAAAAAAGAGGCAATGTTTTAATAGCTTTTTAACTCCATAAGTGGTGTCTGCGTCGTTGGGTGTGTAAATACAAGCTTGTGTGTACGTGCAGGAGCCGTTTGTGTGTGGCTTTTTGTGTGTGTCAGACACACACGTATGCAGACACCCACCACCACCACACACAGACATGTGAATGCGGCTTGTGTCTGGTCTGGCCTCTCCACCTAGCTCTGCTGCCGAGGCTCACGCTGCGCTCTACCCCCATCCCCTAATATCCTGGAGGCATTTTTCTCATTATCAAATATTGTTTGATGTCTTTGTTTCTTGATGATAAACCATGGCCACCAAACACCGGTCTGGATTGTTTAAAATTTAATTTTAGGGCTCTGAAGTACCTGCGGAGGGGCTGGCTGGTGGGGACACCCGTGTTTTATGTATGCTATTTTTCACGCTGAAATGCAAGAGGACACACATTGAAAAACACAATAAATCCTGGAGGAGAATCATTAGAGGAATACTAGTAGTTTTTATGACCATTGTTATTCAACGCTGTATTGAGATGCAGTAAATTATTCTGTTTATTATAGGTTTATGGATTCAGCCACATTTTCAGAATAATTATGTTGTTCCTCATTCTACGTAAATAGAACTACTCTCTCTATGCTTTTCTATGTATTTAACATGGATGTAAATATTAAATATGTATACATATTTTATACTGTAAATATTTATTTCTAGAAATTTTAGTTTATCAAAATTATTTTTACTCGTACATCTCTTGCATATTATTCGTGTTCTGACTGCAATGGTCTTGTTTATATTTCTCTGGTAATTTGAACATCATAATGACAACATCTCGCCTTAGGAATTCAAGATTTATGATGGAATCGACATTGTAAGCAAACAAATAGGGAA